TTCAAAAATACATACTGACATATTCTAGATGAAATAATATGATGTCTGGAATTTGATTCAAAATAATGTGAGGGGTGCATAGTAGGTGGGATATACATGAAATAAGACTGGCCATGAAATCAGAAAGGCCGGGTAATGGGTGCAGAATATTCACTTTTGCTGTTCTCTAGACTTTTGTGTTTTCTTTCTTTCTTTCTCTCTCTGTCTATTTAAAATGTTTTATTTATTTTTGAGAGAGAGAGCGAGGGGGAAGGGCAGAGAGAGAGAAAGAGAGGGACAGATGATCTAAAGCAGGCTCTGCAGATAGCAAGGATACCTATGTGGGGCTTGAACTCACAAATCATGAGATCATGACCTGAGTCAAAGTTGGATGCTCAACTGACTGAGCCACCCAGGGGCCTCTCTCTCTCTCTCTCTCTTTCTCTCTCTCTCTTTTATGTTCCTTTCTTTCTTATATTTACTGATTTAAGTATTCTATACACCCAACATGGGGCTTGCACCCCTGACTCCAAGATCAAGAATCACATGCTATCCCTACTGAGCCAGCCAGGCGCTCCTTGTGATGTGTTTCTGATTTGCCAAAATAAAAAGTAGAAATAAAATGTGATTACTGGAATTATAACTTTTTTTAGAATTTATTTATTTGTAAATGTTTATTTTTCAGAAAGAGAGAGGGAGAGAGCGAGCGAGCAAGGGAGGGGCAGAGAGAGAGACACACACACACACAGAATCCAAAGCAGGCTCCGGTTCCGAGCTGTCAGCACAGAGCCCTGTTTGGGGCTGGAACTCGCAACGGCGAGATCATGACTTGAGCTGCTGAAGTCAGATGCTTAACTGACGAGCCACCAAGGTGCCCTAAGATTTTATTTTTAAGTAATCTCTACACTCAATGCGGTGCTCGGACTCAACGACCCCAAGATTAAGAGTTGCACACTCCACCAACTGAGCCAGGCTGGTGCCTCTGGAATTATGGCCTTTGGAAGAACAGTGCCCTTAATCAGAGCTAGCTTTGAACACACTCTGAGAACATACTCCAGTGATATATTCAGTACACATACAGCGTGCACGAAATGCGACTTAAAGTTGTTGATGCCCCCGTTTCATACGATGCTGAGTCATGTCACCCCCTATGAATCATTTCCCAAACACATGGCACCAACTTCCTGTTAAGGAAATAGCAGCTCGGCCCATGTTTAGCTTTTCTTTTTCTGGTAAAGACAGATTAGATTCGAATAGTACTGCGTTTTGTATGGATGTGGAATTACTGGGATTCTAGTAAACACAGAGGTTCTCAACGTGCCCCGAAGCATTTCGTAGTTAATTGCACATATAGGAAATTCATGTTTCAGCCGCTTGCACCACCTGAAGCTTCGGTCCTCCGTGAGCAGCGTTAGCTGTTAGTGTTGCTTAAAACCCTTTAATGACGTCCTGCCAAATAAAAGCCACACTCCTTCCTTGAACCTACAACCCTATCCACTTCTCCCAATTCATCTGTCATCATGTCTTCCTTGTCTGATACACCCCAACAACAACTATAGTCACAACAGCCAACTATGTGCCAGGCACTCAGTGTTGTAAATACTTTGCACATATTAGTTCATTAACCCTCACAACAACCCATGAGGTAGGTAGATGCAGATGAAGACACTGGAGCACAGAGAGGTTGAGTAACTTACTCAGAGCCACACAGCAAGTGGCAGAATTGATGTTTGAACCCAGGCTCTCTGGCTCCAGAAGCTCCTTTCAGTTCTGCGAGAAATGACATAGAATTCTGGATCACCATGCACTTGCCCATACTGCATCTTTGGCTAAGAATTGTGGGCAAAAACTTACTCATTTCTTTTTATGGTTTGTTAAATTTATTTAGGACATAATTCAGTATGATTATATAGATTTTTCCCTTTTAATACATTAACATAGTCAATTCCTGATAAGAATCATCTTTACACTCCCACAATTAAATCTGTCTCCCTATGGTATATATGTTTTTAATATGATGCTGGGTTGCTATTTGTAATTTAGGATTTTGTATCCTCATTCATATGTAAACTTGGGCTCCAGCTTTCTTATCTCTCTCATTTCAATTTTTTTTCTTTTATAGTTTATTGTCAAGTTGATTTCCATGTAACACCCAGTGCTCATCCCAACAAGTGCCCCCCTCCATGCCCATCACCTCTTTCCCCTCTCCCCCACCCCCATCAGCCCTCAGTTTGGTCTCGGCATTCAAGAGTCTCTCATGGTTTGCCTCCCTCCCTCTCCCCCACTATTTTTCCCCTTCCCCTCCCCCATGGTCCTTCGTTAAGTTTCTCCTGTTCCACTTATGAGTGAAAACATATGGTAGCTGTCCTTCTCTGCCTGACTTACTTCGCTCAGCATAACACCCTCAAGGTCCATCCATGTTGCTACACATGGCCAGATTTCGTTGTTTCTCATTGCCATGTTGTATTCCATTGTATAGATAAACCATATCTTCTTGATCCATTCGTCCGTTGATGGACACTTAGGCTCTTTCCATGTTTTGGCTATTGTGGAGAGTGGTGCTATGACCATTGGGGTCCATGTGCTCCTATGCTTCAGCATTTCTGTATCCCTTGGGTAAATTCCTAGCAGTGCTATTGCTGGGTCATAGGGGAGTTCTATTGTTAGTTTCCTGAGGAACCTCCACACTGTTTTCCAGGGGGGCTGCACCAGCTTACATTCCCACCAACAGTGTAGGAAGGTGCCCGTTTCTCCACATCCTCGCCAGCAACTAGAGTCTCCTGACTTGTTCATTTTCACCACTCTGGCTGACGTAAGGTGGTATCTCAGTGTGGTTTTGATTTGTATTTCCCTGATGATGAGTGGCGCTGTTACTCATTTTTTTTTTTTTTTTGAAAGACATTACTTAAATGTCCCCTTCTCTCTGTAGCAGTTCTGGTTCTTCCCCCAGCAGACAAAACTTCATGACTTTCCTGCCTTTTTTGTTTTCTGTAACAAAACAAAACAACTTAAGACATCATACTTAGCAGCGTGGGCCTGAATCAGGCTCTCCATATAGGTATAGACCACTGCTTACACCTTGGCCTCCTTATAGAATTATTTATCTATCATGGAAAAATTCACACATATAGAAAAGCATAGAGAACCGTATGACGGATCTCCATGTATTCATTATCCAGTTTCAACATTTATCAACTTAAAAAAAAACTACTTTCACCCATAGCCTTGACCTATTTCTCTATCCCACTGGATTACTTTGTGTTTTTAAAGTTTTTTAACATTTATTCATTTTTGAGAGACAGAGACAGAGTGTGGGTGGGGGAGTGGGGGGGGAGACACAGAATCCAAAGCAGGCTCCAGGCTCTGAGATGCCAATACAGACCCTGGCACGGGGCTTGAACTCATGGACTGTGAGATCATGACCTGACCCGAAGTCGAAGTTTAACCGACTGAGCCACCCAGGTGCCCCTACTTTTTTTTTTTTTAATGTTTATTTATTTTTAAGAGGAGGGGAGGGTAGAGGGAGGGAGAAAGAGAATCCCAAGGAGGCTCCACACTCAGCACTGAACCCAATGGGAACCTTGATCCCACGACCCTGAGATTATGACCTAAGCCATAATCAAGAGTTGGATGCTTAATCAACTGAACCAGCCAGGTACCCCTCCACTAGATTACTTTGAAACAAACCCAGGTACCGTTTCATCTTATCCATAAATACCTCAACATGTTGCTAAAAGCGATAATTTGTGAACAAGTTAGCCCTACATCATTGTCCTATCTCAAAAACGAAACAATAATTCTTTAATAGAATCGATTACCTAGTCAGATACTTTTTCTACCCCTCATTATGTGCCAGCTTTCAGAATAATGCATTGGCTCACCAGCATCCTCCAAAGGTAGCCGATGATATTTTTTAGCATCATTATGAGCTCATGGCTAGTTGATGTATTTCAATCCATTGCAGTTACTATTCTTTTCGGGGCTCAGACTGATCAATTTTTGGCCAGTGGGAGCCTTTTAAACTTGGTTGATATGGGGGCACCTGAGGACTCAGGCAGTTGAGCATCTGACTCTTGTTCTCGACTCCGGTCATGATCTCACTATTTGTGAGTCTGAGCCCCACATGGGGCTCTGTGTGGATGGCACAGAGCCTGCTTGGGATTCTGTCTCTCCTTCTCTCTGCTCCTCCTCTGCTTGTGCTCTCTCTCTCTCTCTCAAAATAAATAAATAAACCTTAAAAAACAAACAAACAAACAAACAAACAAACTTGGCTGATATGATCCCAGTAATCTTCAATGACTTCTTTGCTTTAGGGTATGACAAGATTTTTAAAGTAGAATATAAGCCATTTCATCTTACTTTTTTAATTGACTTTTCATTTTTTTATTACTATTTCTTGTTAAATAACAAAAATTCAACTGAGTAAATTTTAAAGATCTAGTGGGCTTTAGTAATTGATTCATTAATTGGGCAGCTTCCCGTCTCACAAGTAGAGGAGAGCTCCAAAGGGCTGCAGAAAAGGAAAGGTTTTTAAAGGCAGGAGGGTGGCGCCTGGGTGGCTCGGTCAGTTGAGTGTCTGATTCTTGATGCTGGTTCAGGTCATGAACCCAGAGTCGTGGGATCGAGGCCCATGAGTCCCATTAGCCCCACGAGCCCTATGTCGGGCTCTGAGATGAAAGCCTGCTTCAGATTTTCTCTCTCTCTCTCCTTCTGTCCCTTTGCCCACCTCGCACACACACTAAAATAAAAAAATAAGTAAGGGCAGAGAGGGAGTAGAGAAAAGGAAATTATTAGCAAAGAATCCATTGTTTTAGGCAAGGTCACCGTCCTAAGAGAAATGGAAGAGGCCTACCAGTGAATTTCCTCGTACTGACCACGAAATTCTCATGTTGACTGGTTACAGGTAACATTCCTGGGGGCGGGTTGTAACTGCAGTTAGGTTAGGCATTAAGTCTTGGTTTCCTGACTCGGGCCCTTAACCCTAGTGATGGCATTTTTGGCCAGTGGTTTTCTTTTTAACAGTATATGTGGGACGCTTCACGAATGTGTGTGCCATCCTTGGGCAGGGGCGTGCTACGCTCTGTGATGTTCCAATTTAAGTATATGTGCTGCTGAAGTGAGCACTTTATTGACTTTAAAAAAAAACAGTTCTTTATGTTTTTGGTTAACCCTCCTATTAAAAATACATGGACAGCTTACTTTTTAATTTTTTAATGTTTATTTATTTTTGAGAGAGAAAGAGTGACACAGCACGATCAGGGAAGGGGCAGAGAGAGAGGGAGACAGAATCCGAAACAGGCTCCAGGCTCTGAGCTGTCAGCACAGAGCCCGATGCGGGGCTCAAACTCATGAACTGCGAGGTCATGACGTGAGGCAAAGTCAGACTCTTAACTGACTGAGCCATCCAGACGCCCTGACAGCTTACTTTAAAAAATAAAAGTTTATTTATTTATTTTTGAGAGAGAGAGAAAGAGAGCACAAGTGGGGGAGGGGCAGAGAGAGGGAGACATAGAATCGGAAGCAGGCTCCAGGCTCCGAGCTGTCAGCACAGAGCCCGATGTGGGGCTCGAACCCAAGAACCGGGAGATCACAACCTGAGCCAAAGTTGGACGCTTAACCAACTGAGCCACCCAGGCGGGCCCCCTCCCCCCCGACCTTTAAAAAAAAATTTTTTTTTAGATCATCAACATTTATTAGAGTATACACAATTGATTTTCAATAGGTTTAATGCAGAACTGTAAGGATTTTAAGTTAATTATTCATAGCTCTTTATAAAAGTAGTTGAAATTTTTCACATAATTCTAAAAAAAATTTTTTTTAATGATAATTTTGAAATTTCCAAACTTCTAAACACAGAGTGGTTTCCCTTGACAACCGGCCCACTTCCTAAGACGTTTTCCAAAGTCTCCTGGTTAACATAACAAAAGACACCTTTTCCGCTTCCCTCACTAAGGAAATTCCAAGAGTTTATGGAGCTGTGAGCCAGGAACGCTGGACAAAGACCAAATATATGTGAGAAACGAATGACCAAATTTCCTATAAATCACAGTATCGCACCCTTGGATGTCTTTCTTGTATTGCACATGTTTCTCCCAGCTTATCACTTGTCTACTGTTTGGGGTTTGGTATAGTTAGTCGTTTGGAAATTTCTCAACTATAACTGGTATAGTGTATCTTACACCATGAACTTTGCTCTGAGATCACATTTAGCTGTACCCTATACGTTTTGACGTGTAATGTTTTCATTACAGAAAAAAATTTAAATATTCTTATTCTAGATTTCCTGCAAGTATTTGTTTATTGATGTATTGATACAAGAGTTATCTGGGGCGCCTGAGTGGCTCAGTAGGTTAAGTGTCCGACTTCAGCTCAGGTCATGATCTCACAGTTCGTGGGTTCAAGCCCTGCATCGGGCTCTGTGCTGACAGCTAGCTCAGAGCCTGGAGCCTATTTCAGATTCTGTGTCCCCCTCTCTCTCTGACCCTTCCCAGCTCATGCTGTCTCTCTCTCTCAGAAATAAATAAAAAACATTTAAAACAATTTTAAAAAGAGTTATCTGAGAGATACTTTTTTACAGTTTGTTCCAAGCTCAAGAAATAATCTAAGTTGATTGCATTATGGTTGGAGAACATGGTATGTGTCCGTTCTCCTTTTTGGAATTGATTGAACTTTTCTTTGTGGCCTATATGGTGGTCAATGATGATTATTATTTTTTAAGTAATCTAATCTCCACACCAAACATGGGGCTTGACCTCACAACCCTGAGATAAAGAGTCACATGCTCCACCAACTGAGTCAGCCAGGTGCCTCGACGGTCAATGATTTTTTTAAAAATGTTTTATTTATTTCTAGGAGAGAGAGAGAGAGAGAGAGAGAGAGAGAGAGACAGCGTGAGCAGGGGAGGGTCAGAGAGAGAGGGAGTCACAGACTGAATCAGGCTCCAGGCTCTGAGCTGGCAGTCAGCACAGAGCCCGACGCGGGGCTCGAACCCACGAACCGCGAGATCATGACCTAAGCGAAAGTCGGACGCTTAACCGACTAAGCCACCCAGGCGCCCCTCAACGGTCAATGATTTTTAATGTTCCATAGTTACTTACTAAAAGACATATTCATGGTTGTAAGAGAATAAAATTGATATAGTTTTATTAATTATACTATTTTCTTAGTAATCCTTATACCCAATGTGGGACTCAAACTCATGACCCCTGAGATTAAGAGTCTCATGCTCTTCTGATCGAGCCAGCCAGGTGCCCCTTAATATACTATTTTTGCTGTGTCTATGACATCTATCCTAGGGTGATAAATATAAAGTCTCCTGATGCTGTTGTGTTTCCATCATTTATTTCTTGCATTTCCTGGAAGTTATACATTTTGCATCTTGCCACCCTATTATTAAGTACATACAGAATATGTATGGCTTGAATGGCTTAGTCAGTTAAGCATCCAACTTTGGCTCAGGTCATGATCTCCCGCTGCTCATGGGTTTGAGCCCCGCGTCGGGCTCTGTGCTGACAGCTCAGACCCTGGAGCCTGCTTCTGATTCTGTGCCTCCCTCTTGTTCTCTGCCCCTCCCCCATTCATGTTCTCTCTCTCTCACTCAAGAAAATAAACATTTAAAAAATTGTCAAGTACATACAGATTTATGACAGAGCATTATTATGACATGTCGTATTTGGCATTTATGAGTGTTTCTGGAATCATTCTGTATTTCCAGTACTGAATTCTGAGCTATGTCATTCTTTGCTTTCTGGCCATTTGCTATATCATCAGTTGGTGTTTATGTGGGTGCTCCTTTTCTTTAGGCTTCCAGGAAATCAACTCGTACAAATCTACACATATTGTTAGTGCTGGAGATTTGTTACAAGGACTCATGAGAACATATGAGAAGATCGGGAATAATCTTGCTGCCTCATCACCACCCAGTCATTTTGAATTCCATCACTTCCAAAGCTGATGGCTCAGTGCAGCCCCAGAACAGCTCAGCATCACTGGGAAGTCATCAGCCTTCATATGACCCATAGTTCACGGTCCTTTGTCCCTGACTTTTTTTTAAAGACTTTATTTTTCAGTAATCTCTAAACCCAGCGTAGGTCTCGAACTCATGACCCCAAGATTAAGAGTTCCCCTCTCCACCCACTGAACCAGCAGGGTTCCCCAAGAACTTTAATCATTGAACATATTATACAGTTTTGTGAGAATATTATTACCATCATAATTACAGAGGATGAAACTGAGACCTGATGAATTAACTCCACCAAGGGCAAACATTCATTGAAAGCATTCTTCAAATATCTGGGTGCCTGGCTGGCTCATTTGGTGGAGCGTGCAACTCTTGATCTCAGGGTCTTAGATTTGAGCCCCATATTGGGTGTAGAGATTACTTAATAATAACCTCTTTTTTGAAAAATAAAGCATTCTTCAAATATTTCTGAAATAGCACCATGGGTCATGCCAATCAGAGCTTCAGAGCTACAAGTCCAATCCAGCATGAACTCCACTATCTTACTCCAAAGCTCACGTCATCAACTGCTGTCTACCATGCCTCCCTTTCATGTCACTTCTCAGAGGGAGGTTTTGATCACTGCCACCCCAATACACATGTCCCTATTGGGGTAAGTTGTTAGGTCGTGTCCACGTGGGGTTGCCTTCTGCTCACGCGTCAGCTTCTTGTCTCATAGCTGTGGCCAAGGTAACAGGAAGGTTCTCAACACACGGGGACAGAGCTATTGTAATCTAGACTGCAAGCACCAAATGGGGCCCCCTTCCTCCCAGGGAGCAATGTCATTAGCAGCCATTTCAATGCTTCCAGAATCTGGCGTGGAGCCTATGCAGGGAAGAGTTAGCATTGCAGTCTGGAGACTGTTGTCCTTAGAAAGACCTGCTTGTGGGGCGCCTAGGTAGCTCAGTTGGTTAAGCGGCCGTCTTTGTCTGTGATCTCACGGTTTGTGAGTTTGAGCCCTGCACTGCGCTCTGTGCTTACAGCTCAGAGCCTAGAGCCTGCTTTGGAGTCTGTGTCTCCCTCTCTCTCTGTCCCACCCCCGCTTGCTCTCAGTCTCTCAAAAATGAATAAACGTTAAACTTTTTTTTTTTTAAAGAAAGACCTGCTTGTAAGGTTGGCCTTTGGTTGGTGTTATGAACTGAATTGTGCCCCCCGCTCAAATTCCTATGTTGAAGCCCTAACCTCCCCCCCTCAGCGTGACAATATTTGGAGATGGAGCTTTTGAATTTTTAAAAAATGTTTTATTTAGTTCTGAGAGAGAGAGAGAGAGAGAGACAGCATGAGCAGGGGAGGGTCAGAGAGAGAGGGAGACACAGAATCCGAAGCTAGCTCCAGGCTCTGAGCTGTCAGCACAGAGTCCGACGCGGGGCTGAAACCACGAACCGTGAGATCATGACCTGAGCGGAAGTCGGACGCTTAACCTACTGAGCCACCCAGGCGCCCTTGGAGATGGAGCCTTTAAGGAGGTAATTAAGGTTAAAGAGGGTAATAAAGAGGGCCCTAATCCAATAGGACGGGTATCCTTATAAGAAGAGATCTCTCCCAGACATCTCTCTCTGCCAGTGCACACATAGAGGAAAGGCCATGCGAGAACATAGCAAGAAGACGGTTGTCTGTGAGCCAGGAAGATAGTCCTCCCCAGTAACCAACATTGGTGACACTTGATCTTGGACTTCTAGCCTCCAGAACTGTGAGAAGTTTTGGTGGTTTAGGCCACCCAGTTTGTGGTATCCTGTATGGCAGCCCGAGCTGACAGCTACAGGTGACAACTTAGACTCTGGGAGGGTTCCCACCATTCTCTACACACTGAGTGACTCACTGTGCCTTAACTGTTTGTACAAACACTGTGATTTCTGCCGAACACCTGCTTTCCTTCTGGAGATCTGGGAGTTTTGGACACGCTCGCCAGACGGTGCCCACATAACTGGCCCCTGATTTTAAAAAAATCTTTGAGGTTCCCTACAGACAATATTTCAGATGTGCTGTCATATTTCATTGCTGGAAGAATGCCCACTGGGAGAAGAGCCTTAGAAGTTTGCTCCTGGCTCCCTCTAGGCCTGGCCCCATGCGCCTTTTCCCTTTGCTGATTGTCCTTCCGCTTGTATGAAATCATAGCCATGAGCAC